ACATTTCACATTGACCGGATAATAAGAGGTGAAGGGAGCAGAGTGGATGTGGGAGCACTCACTGACAGCCTGTGCGAACACAGAGAGCCTGAATCAACTGCACTATCAAATACAGAAGGCTTATTTTGAACTGTGAATCACAGTAAGCTGCTGTGGTGGATTCAGAATAAGTCACCCTGAAACGCCAGCATGAACAAAACCAGCAGAGCAGCAGCAGCCGGACGCTGCAGAATAAAATCAGTCAGGACGGTTTGTGTCGGGGCAGCAACAGGAAGCTCTGAGGCCTGTTTTCTCACCCAGAACACTAACGTGCAGTTCTGCAACACCGTCACCTACAACAGCGGCTTTATTTATACAACACCACCTCACAACAACAGCCATCTCTGGGTTTATACTGTAGGTAAGGACCCAACAATAACACAAACACAATATAAAAGATACTTCCTATCAAAATCTCACAGGGGACCAGAGGAAAAGGCTGTAAGGCACCACGTGGGTGAAAGTCACCTGACTTTAGTGTTTCAGGGTTAAGGTCAGGGGTCAGAGTTGTCACAGAGTGTAAGGATGCTGAAAGAGGCCAAAAGCCACTGGACTGGTCATCGTGCAGGTACCGCAGAGCCGTACCGTCACACAGCAGCTGGTTCAGTTACTGTAGCTGTAACTCGTTCCCACGACCAGCAAACAGAAACACGGGAACTGTCTACCTGCCTCCGTCTCACCTTTCCTGTGCACCTGCCCACTAACACGGACACACTCTCATTTCAAGCTTTTATTTAACCCGCTGCTGGTTTTCTCTAACCCCCCTGGAGAGCAGCACCGCCTCCTCTCGCTCTTTCGCGAGTACTCAGATTACCGTTTTGCGTTACTTTTTGCGATTAACGTTAATTCCAGCTAACGCCAACTGAGGCGGTGGACCGGAGACTTTACACACCGACTTTTACGACCTGCTAAGGCGGCACTGAGCCGCTCATGTTGGCCTGATAAAGCAGCTCACGCAGTTAAAAAGTGACGGTTTGGTTATCTCCCCACGGCGGCCCACGCCCTTTGACACAGTGACGTTAGCAGCTAGCAGCTAGCGATGATTAGCCGGGGAGGCTTGAGCGCTGGGCGGGAGTTTATCCCACTTTAACGGGGTAAATGTGTCCAGAACGAGGGCGGCAGGGGCGGGAAACTGACCCCGGGCTCGAAGTCCCCCACCCGGGCGGGTTCCCTGAGGTCCCCGCGGTACAGAGGCTAGCCGTGCCTAGCTGCGGGGTGAAGGAGACAAACTCACAGTTCCTGATGTCGGAGATGAACACGGCCAGTCCGCGCATCCCGTCCCCTTTAGACACCGCCGGCATCCTCTCCGCTGCTGGGGGGCTTCAGCTGACCCGGACAACGCGCTGCTCGAACTCTGAACTCTGTCTGTGGAACCGCCGCTGCGAGCACCAGGAGCCCCGACATATGACCGAGACAGGAACCAGACGGGCCGCGTCCCCTTCAGCGCGGAAACGCCCTGTTCCAGCCTCCTAAGGCGGGCCGCGTCCCAAACATGTTCGCTTTACCCACTCAACTGAGTGAACGCACCCGGCCCAGTCCTCACCTTTCAGCGGCCCAGAACATCTGGAGCATGAGCACCGAGGACGGGAGAGCTCCCAGATGTTTGGGAGACTGCTGTCTTCACACTCAGTCTTTTTTATTAAAACTTTTATTCATTTTTTCAGTTTACACATTTGATATGTTGTGACTTGCATTCTGTTTTTATGTACTTTTATAAACGCCCCAACTTCTTTGTAATTGACGTTATGACATCAAGACAAACAGCTGGGTTATAAGGCGGAGATTCATCTTTTGATGAATTTCTGGAGGCCCTGTGACAGACTGGCGACCCGTCCTGGACGTACCAGGCCTCCCGCCCTGTGGTAGCTGGGATAGGCCCCAGCGCCCACACAACCCTGAATCGGATAAGTGGAAGAGAAATGATGGATGAATTTCTGAAATTTGATAAGCATATCGATGAATTAATGAGGACACTGTCTAAATAATTGGCTCATTTTTCAAACTGAGAGACTTCCTTCTGTGTGAAGCTCTTCTTCTTCCTGTCTCTATTTGAGCCTCAGTTAAACTGCAGTAATGTCTATGGTGGAACATGTGTCTTAGTTATGTGGAGTAATTACAGACTTTCCAAATGAAAGTGACAAACAGTCCGAGACACGTCAAGGTCCAAACGTTTGGAGCTGGCTGGACAAAACCTTTCACACAGCCAGTGTAATTATGGACTCGTGTCTCTGCACTGATACAGGCTCAGTCCTAAAACCGTACACTTCTCAGGCCTTCACAGTTCTCACTAGTTTTCGCTTGAATTACACACTCTGATTATTTTATTCCGTTATTCCTCAGGTGCTGGTCTGCAGCGTTACTGGGCCTTAGCATCTTTGGAGTAATTTTGGGATATTTTTAGAGTCGGCTTTGCATTCGGATTCATGCTGGAAGTTATATTTGTATTTCATGTGCATTATTTCATTCATGTGAATGAAGATCAGTGCGTAACAAGGTAAAGCAGTAAAAAAACGAGCCTGCACAGAAACACATACAGCATCAGCAGACAGTGCTGCACAAAGGCCTGGGCTCTCTAATCGCATAAACAGACAGTAGATGGATCACACTCTGAGTCTGACTCTCATTAAGCTTTTCAAAGAAGCAGCATCAGACTCAGATCTGCAGCCCAGAAAATCATGGCTGCAGTTAGCAGCAAACCCGCATCAGTGACGTTCATCTCAGAGGGCTGCTGAGGGTCACGTCCGGCCGTAAATGTGTTTAAATACGCCAGGCCTCATGTGGAGCCTGCTGGAGTCAGGCTGCAGTTTTAGACAAAATTAGAAAAGCAGATAGAGACTTCCTGTCTCTCGCTATAACTACAATTACTCGTTATAGACGGACTACATGGCCAATGTGAGCTACCCCCCCCGTATGAGGTTATGACCACATGCAACCGAACATGCGATGAAACCTTTGGTGGAAACTTCTAACTCACAGTGTAACCTTTGTTTTTTTGTGTAAAACAAACTGCTCTGCCAAAAGCATTCCCTCACCTGTCCAAATCATTTCACTCAGGTGTTTCAAATCAAGCACCTCGGCATGCTGACGGCTTCTACAAACATTTGTGTCGCTCTCAGGAGCTCCAGCATGATGCTGCGATAAGATGCCACCTGTGCAAAACGTCCGCTGGTAAAACTGAAGTTGCTCTTTGTTGGAGAAAAATAAAGAAGAATTTGGTTCAGTTTGAATAACTAAGGCTTCGGTTCCACAGGTGACTCAGACCCGCCCTCTGTTTTCTGACAGAGGTGATGTCCTGAGCGATGACTCCTGATCACGAGATCCAGTTGATAGGTTTTGAAGTCTTGTCAATAAAAAGCTGTGACGGCTCGCTTTACAGTCCTTTTGCAATATTATTATCAGTGTCTGCTCACACTGACTGGTCGCTCCGAGTCTTATTATCTGGGTAAAATAAAACACTGATACAGATTTATAGTTTGTTTCCCCTCCTTACACTGTAGTTACACGTGACTATTAGGGATCTTGTCTGTATTAGAGTATACGAACCCCTGTAGCTCAGGAGGTAGTTCGACCCCCGCCTGGCCCGCATGCCTTTGGGCTACTAACCCTAAGTTGCTGTCTGACCCATCAGAGTATGGATGTGTGTGAATGTCAGTAAGCACTTAAAATCATAGAAAAAGGTGAATGTGACATGTTGTATAGAGCGCTCTGAGTACTCTGGGAGAGTAGAGAAGTGCTGTATAAGAATCAGTCCATTTACCTCCCGAAAGATCAAAAATAACCTGCTGAATATGTAAAAAAAATTAATATTAAAACAGAACTGAACAAAAAATGATGGTAAACTTTCAAAAAATAGAACCATAAATATAATTTCTGCATTCATAACCAGAAGTTTCTTTAAAATGACTCAACAGCGTCTCCAGGTTCACCTTTCAGCTGTCTGCACCTGTGAGTACTGTGTAACTAGAGTCCAGGACAGGAGGTCAGGATACTGATAATACTCTGCTCTTTAAAGTATTTGTTACTTGAAAAGATTTTGTGTGTTTTCTGTCTTATAAATAATTCTTTTATTTTGTCCCGTGGCTAATCACCGCATAAAAACACAGTCAGCAAACAGACAAACAGGAATCTCTTCATTCCCACGTTTACAGCATTTAGGGTTCAACTGTCTTCATTTGTAACAGAAGAGAGAAGAGCAGGAACCAACAGCTGCAGCTCAAAGTGATTTCTGTGAGTTCAGTGAAAGAAAGCAAAGTTTGCTGTCCTCTATGATGCAGCCTTTAACGTTAACATGTTGGATACTCATTAATTCAAATACTTGCAACATAATTTGTTCTCTCTCCATTCAAACTGTAACTATGTTATCAGTTTGATTTAGATACATGTGAGTGTTTCAGGTACTGAAAATATAATATGTATAACCTGGGACTTTATATTACAGTCATACGCTTCTATTGTTATAACTAATAAGGGATGTTAATCCTGAAACAGTGTCAATTAAAATGTGTCATAAATACAGTAAATATTTAATTCATTGTACACAAACAGTACACAGTACTATAAACCGGTTGCCATGAAGCAAACAGTAAGTCGTTCACAGTTACTGTAAAGTTCATGCGTTCGTGTATTTTAAAGGACGGTTACAGTAACACTTTATCGTCACGTTGACTCAACAATTAGTGAACAGGTGGTGACGTGTCAAGGCGTCGTGTGTTGTGATGTATATGGCGTGATGCTGATCTTCCTCCTGATGAACATCCATCTCTGGAGCGCCCTCCCCTCTGCTGCAGCTTCATAAAGGCAGCAGCCGCCGTGCAGAGTGACAGAACAGCCGGAGACTCATCCTGTCACGACCTTCACGTCGTACTCCTACCAGACGACTCTCTGATGCAGCCAGTGCCAAAGCAAGCTTACTGAACCATCACTATCAATTTCATATTTGTATCGCTGAAATCCAGAGAAGCATGTACGCCAGGAAGTCAGAAGGAAAGGAGCTTCGCAGAGGAAGGTCTTTGGACAACAGGACCGTCTCCAGCAGCTTTGGGAGAGGCTCGACAACCATCATATTCACTCTGAAAAACGAAGTCGGTGGTCTTATAAAGGCACTGAAACTTTTCCAGGTGAGGTTTCATTTTCTTTATGTTGACACAGATATGGTGTTTTCTGAGGATGCATGTGACTGGCCAGGAATGAATGTGATCAGAAGCTTTTACAGCATCTTCTTTGGGTGTGTGTGTGTTTGTGTGTGTTTGTGTGTGTGTGTTCGCAGGAAAAACACGTCAACCTCATCCACATCGAGTCCCGGAAGTCCAAACGAAGGAATTCAGACTTTGAGATCTTTGTGGACTGCCACACCGACCACGAGCAGTTCAAGGAGCTCACCGAGCTGCTCAGGAAGCACACGGACATCGTGGAGATCTCGCCGTTCGACGGCTCCGCTCTACCCGAGGACGGTACACCTTGTCGTACTTTGACTAAACAGTAGCTGTGATAGGAATGAGTTATTTCACAGGTCTGCGTGTGTCTTGACTGTGTTTCAGATGTGCCCGGTGTGCCGTGGTTCCCCAAGAAGATCTCAGACTTGGACCTGTGTGCAAACAGGGTTTTGATGTACGGCTCTGAACTTGATGCAGATCATCCGGTATGTGCGTCATCGGACAGAGCTCTGAAATGTAGCGTGAACTCGGTAACCGACTGAGGTTTTGCTGTTCCTGCAGGGATTTAAGGACAACATATACAGAAAACGAAGACAATATTTTTCTGATTTAGCTGTAAACTACAAACAGTGAGTTCCTCTTATGGATGTTTTCATTAATGAAGTTAATAATAAAAACCTAGAAGGGCTTTCATCCTTTAACTCCGTCTCTCACAGCGGTGAGCCCATCCCTCGTGTGGACTACACTGCAGAGGAGGTGCGTACCTGGGGCGTGGTGTTCAGGGAGCTCCACAAGCTGTACCCGAGCCACGCCTGCAGGGAGTACCTGAAGAACCTCCCACTGCTGACCAAGTACTGCAAATACAGCGAGGACAACATCCCCCAGCTGGAGGACGTCTCGCACTTCCTCAAAGGTAACCGTCAACAGTGTTGGTCAAGTTACTTGGAAAAGTGACCATTAATTAATTCCTGATTACGTCTCCAAAAAAGTAATCCCATTACTCTACTGATTACTTATTTTCAAAAGTAATTAGTTACTTAGTTACTTTTAAAAAACACGATACACAACCTGAATAGGTAATAAAGCGACCTTTCAGCCCAATTCTATTTTTTCTGCATGATCCATCATATAAAACTGAATCTAATGAAAAAGTCTCTTTAAAACGTGTCTTATTAGTTTGAATCTTTAACTTTATGCATCAAGGAAAAATTAAATCGTATGCAGCTGTCTTTGACTTGAAGAAATGTGTTTAACATTTAAACCTATTTTCTGCACATTCCAGCATTTAAAATAAAATAATTGTTTTGTGTTTACACTCTTTCTAATAGATGCAAGTAAAACAAAGCAGAAAATAAATAAAATCAAAAACGTAGCAGCACTGAGTCCTGTCGCTCTTAAATCTATTTTCACGTGTTTAGCAGGAGTGGTGCGGGTGGAGGTTTGCCCGGTGCAGGTGTGCCTCAGCGGTCATGCCAGCATTCTCGGTACTTGCTCAGAAGTTTAAGGTTTCATTTTCCACGCAGAGTGCACAGCAGACGCGAACGTTTGTGTTACTTTGTAAGGAATCAAACTCAAAGTAATGTGAGTACTTCCACGCTTTAAATGCTGCACGGTCGTACTCTCTCCCGCACTGCACATTATCCCTTGTTGAACTGCACACGTCTGTTACCACGAACTAATTACTTTTTTGCAATAGTAATCCCTTACTTTACTCGTTATTTTAAAAAGTAATCGGATTACAGTAATGTGTTACCTTAACGTGTTACTGCCCATCGCTGACCGTCAAATGCAAGCCAGGGCTCTAGACTAACTTTTTGTCACGGTTGCACTGGTGCGCCTAACTTTTTTTCTTAGTGCTGCAGTCTCTCAGTGCAAAATTTGGGCGCTTAACACTTTTTGGGGGGAAATTCAGTCCATAGAGACACTATTGATTTGTAAATGATTAACTAACAATCTTGTCAACACAAAGTTCTTTATTTGAAGCACATTTCTACCAGAAAGAGAAGTTACTGAAAAACTGCTTGTGCTTAAAGTGCGTTGGCACTCTTTGGTAATGTTGTAGACAATGTTAAACTTAATCATCACTCTGACGACCTGTTTGCTGCTGAAAGGCCGGGGGGAGAGGGGACACAGGGCATTTATCGCAGCATATAATGTGTTTCTGGACACACTGCTGCTTTTTCAGCGCTCAGAGGTTGATGGCACCGTGTCAGAGCTGGCTATGAATTTCAGACAGATCAGACGGAGACATAACAAAAAAGTTATCAATCGTTCTTTTCATCTTTTTTATTACCCACAGCTACATCCACTCTGTCGGGCCTAGGCTGCTCACTAAGGTTGGGTATCATCACTGATTTCTATAATCCATTCGATTCCGATTCACGAGGTCCTGATTCGATTCAGTTTTGCCTCAGACAGTCAGAAACATTATAATTCTGATCATTTATTATAAAATTATGCAATATGGGTAATAAGCGAATGAATAACGCAAAAATTTAGATTTGAGATGGGAAACTGTTCTTGAAGTACACAGAGAGAGAGAGAGAGCTGTGCATGAAGTGTGATTTTATCGTGGTGGAAGCAAAACAGCAAAAGTCAGAGAAGATGTTTATCAACTGATGATGTTTATGACGATGACGTTTATCAAATGTGAAGCGTAGTTTGATCTTCTTTTGCTGCTGCTTCAGTGAATTTTGGTTGGAGAGACACAAAACCTGCAGCTCAGAATTGAGCACAAAAAAGACGTAAACAGTAAACACAAAGCGCGGACCGGCCGATGCATCAGGATCAGTGAGCTGTCGGCTTTCAGCCCCGACGGCGTGTCCGTGTACGGGCCGTCTGGTGAGAAAGCCGAGAAAGAGAAAGCTGATTCTGATGCGTCGGTCCGCTCTGTGTTTACGTCTTTGTGTGGAATCCGTGTACCTGCTCTCATTTACTGTTTGGTTGTTGTTGAAATGGTTTTGAGAGCTTTATCGCTTTATTCAAGCCACTCACCTCTCTCTATCTAGTGATGTGCGAATCATGAACGAAATCGTTCAATACTCGAGAATCACTTTACTGACTCGTGAATCATGATTCACGAAACGCCAACTGACTCACTGACTCATCCCTGTTGCTGTTAGCAAACTAATATCATTAGTAGAAATATATCTAACTTATAATTAAAATTGTGGGGGAAAAAACAACAGCCAAAAAAACATTAACTTAACAAAAACATTCCTGCTCTGAACTGGAAGAAAAAACCCTGAGTAGAAGCTCACATCAACACAATAGCTCCTCAGCTCACAGTAGCATCGCTCTGCTAACATGCTAACAGCACATTTGAGTTACTCACCCCCTCCCTTGCTGCGCTGAATCGTAGCATAAACGAATCACTCGTCTTAGCAGCAGGATTTACATGAAAAGAGAAAAAAAATTAAGTTTCAGTGAAAATGTAAATTTTTTGCACTCTCTGGTCAACTGACTCAGTGACTCAAATGACTCAAAATCCAATTCACTTTGGTGAGTGACTCATTCAAACTCGATTCAGTAAAAAGAATCGAATTTATCATCACTATCTCTATCCACCTGCACTCTCAACTGGATCACGGCCAATCAGAGAGGTCCCGCCCCTGGCTATCTCTGATTGGTTTAGACCACGATAGAGGCATAATGTCTGTCTGTTGTTGACCACACGGAGACTTTCAGAGTTCTGCGACGTAGGATTTTTTTTAGTTGCACCATTGAAAAATGTGGTCGCACCCTAGAGCCCTGCAAGCAGTTGTTTCCAAGCTGCTGAATATCTGAGCCAAAAACAAGGAGAGTGACACCGATGTTTCCCACTGCAGCTTTCAGGCACTTTTTCTGGTTTCGCACATAATGGGCAAAACCAGTTTGATTGTTTTGGAGCCTTTATCCTTCAAGGACCTGCAGTTCAAAAAGCGCCCCTCCGACATCCAAACCCATCTGTTCTCTGATTGGATTGTTACATTTGTGATTGACATGACATTGACCAATCAGCTGAAAGGAAGAAAAATAGGGTCAAAATTCGTACTTGTAACTTGAAGCTTGAGTGCAGAGTTTCACACGTATGTCCACACACAAATCTTTTTTACGCACACACAAATTCTTTTTATACATACAAATCCTGATTTACAAGTACAAAATATTTATGACCACAATTTGAGCCCATAAACCCCACAGCAGCCATATTGTTGGTCACATGATTTCATTAAAATGCTCCAACAGCACAACCAAGGTCCAGAGATCCAGTTAGCAGACAGCTAGCAGCTACAGCCACCTGTCACCACCATCAACCTGTCAGTCAAAGAGGCCACGCCCCCAATAATGCAAACTTAGAGCCTTAATACCATTTAAACATGTGAGTTATAAAATCGTCCTTAGTTATTATTAAGGGGGAATTATCTCTAGAGAACAAACAGTTTGTGTATCAGGCTGTAAACATGGTTATTTCTGCTGGAAAGTTTTAACATGGGAGTCTGTGGGGACTGACTCGCTGCTGCCTCTGCTGGCCGGTACATGAACTGCAGCTGTCATGGTAACCCTAATAACCCCTCTGCCTGCGTCCTTCCTGCTTTCTGTGTGGTTTGATCTTTGTGCCTCTGTTTTATTTTGACAGTTAAGTCCTTGTTACCTTTCTGTGTTTTTACTTCTATCCTTTGTTATTTTCTCCCATCCTCAGTACCCTCATCCTGGTGCCTGAGTCTTTGTCTAATCTTACTCCTCTTCAGTTCTGGCTTTCTTATTTTTGGTTAACTGGTCATCTTTTGGTCTCTGTTTAGATTAAGATGGACAGTGTGTGTGTGTGTGTGTGTGTGTGTGTGTGCGTGTGTTTGAGCAGAGTGCTCAGGCTTCATCATCAGGCCCGTTGCCGGTTACCTCTCCCCCAGAGACTTCCTGGCAGGCCTGGCCTTCAGAGTCTTCCACTGCACTCAGTATGTCCGCCACAGCTCAGAGCCTCTGTACACACCTGAACCGTGAGTGCACAAAGACACACACACACACACACACACACACACACACACACACACACACACACACTATAACAGTCCGTTTTATTGTCTTTCTTTATTTTGTTCATATTTCTAAAGCCTTGTGTGTGTGTGTGTGTGTGTGTGTGTGCGTGCGTGCGTGCGTGCGTGCGTGCGTGCGTGCGTGCGTGCGTGTGTGTGCGCTGCAGAGACACATGCCATGAGCTGCTGGGTCACGTGCCTCTGCTTGCCGAGCCCAGCTTCGCTCAGTTCTCTCAGGAGCTCGGTTTGGCGTCGCTTGGCGCTTCAGATGATGATGTAAACAAACTGGCCACGGTGAGTGCTGCAGCGCCGACTCACCCTAAATACACCTGGATGAGGCGGGAACAACATGGCTCCCCCCACATATGAAGGGATTGGCTCATAAGGCTGTCAAGTCAGTTTTATTACACAGAACATTTTAAAACCACAGAAGTTGAACCAAAGTGCTTTACATGGACACGTATCTGCAAACGAAGAACCAAAACAGCAAACGTCACAAAGGGTTAACAAAGTTCTCACAGTGTTACAGACAGAGCGCAAACAGAAAGCTGGAATGAAACCATGAGGGACCTCAGACATGACAGAAATAGGGCCTTAAATCTGATAGAAAGTTCTCAGTTCTTCTTAAGGGGACAGGAAGACTCAGGGCAGCAGTAGCAGGTGAGAGGTTGGGCTGATGACCTCAGTGAGCTGGAGGCAAAATATGGAGTTAGTGTTGTGAAGTGGGCGTGTCCTGAGTTGAACATGTCTAAATATTAAGGCAACTACCAATAGGAGTGAAACAGACCACTGACTGACACGTAAAGGTGAAGGACACCTGGATTAGGTGCTCTCAGGGTCTCCTCTCCCTCTCCCCGTAAGAATCGAGCTCCTGAGTAGCAGGCAATCCTCACAGAAACACGCCTGTTTATCTTACAGCTGTGGCAGCGTGTCATTGGCTGGTGCATGTATAGAGGTGCATGTACGTGGTTACCTGTCCTGTTAATCACCTGCTGAGCTCCTGCTCCAAACCTCTGCTGCATTTCTACATCTCCACCACCAGGTGACACCACCAGGCTTCTCATCAGTGAGGAACGAGCCAATCACAGCAATTCTTACTTACAGTATATTCAGAGTTCCTCATAATAAGCAGTGTTGCTCAGCAGCTGATGCATTTACAAAATTCTTCCTTCAGGTTCAAAATATTCATGTGAAAAGTTTGTTCAGGTGACTTTGAGCGATTCTCAGTGTGCGCTCGCCCCGGGGTGAACGTCCGCCCCCTGGTGGACCATTGTCCTTTATACTTCCACCTGGTTTATAATCTGGGTAGCTTGAACCCACCAAGGTCATCGTCAGTGACGGCCCCGCCCTAAACCTTCCTGTCCTGAGTCTTTGAATCAAGTCGAGTTTTATTGTCAACCCAACTGTATACACTCAGGTATACAGTGGGACGAAATATCGTCCTCCTGGATCGAAGGTGCAAACTGTGAAAATAAAAAAGAATAAGAATAAATTAATATAATCAAGACTCAAAACCGCTGATTGTCAGTATGCGTGTTGTCAAGAGATTTATTCTAAATGACACTTCTTCAGCTGAGAGTCTAAGAGGAGAAAACACACAAACAGACGCTGCAGTTTTAACTTGCAAGGGCGTTTCGCAGAGCGCTCACATCAGAGTGGGGCCCTGTGAAATGCACGCTCTGTTCTTGCACTTGTCTTTATTTATACACAAGAAAAATGAATACATTTGACGTGAGCGTGTGTGTGTGTGTGTGTGTGTGTGTGTGTGTGTGTGTGTGTGTGTGTGTGTGTGTGTGTGTGTGTGTGTGTGTGCGCGAGGTCAGGACTGCTTGTTTGACTTCTTACTATCGCTGTGGGAAGATTCAGATACAAATATCAGAACACGTTTCATAAAGAACAATCTGTCCAGAACAATGAAAAGTACGATCAGTTCTAAGCTAGGAAATGATCATCATGCAGCATTCTATCACAAGTAAACTTATATCATTAAAAGCTTATACTGACTAAAGAAATACAATATTCTACTGACACGTGTATACAGCATGCTGAGTTAGCGCTAATGTGATGCTGCTGAGCTCAACATGAACAGAAAACATGAAGAAGGATTCAGTAAATATAAATACTGGAACGAAATGTGAAAAACTAGAAGCAGATGATTTCAGTGAACTCACCTGTCCACAGTTTCATCCACACCAGGCTTTAATCTACCAAACAGACAGATGAGCGCTGCTGACTGAGCGCGTGCAGTGGCGCTCTGAGCTGATGTCGGTGTCCTCCTGTTTGTTCCAGTGTTACTTCTTCACTGTGGAGTTTGGGCTCTGTAAGCAGGACGGCAGGCTGAGGGCGTACGGCGCGGGGCTCCTCTCCTCCGTCAGTGAACTCCAGGTGACCTCCGACCTCCACACTGCACCTTCATCTGACGATTTTTAAAAGGACTCAGATTATTAGTGATTTTTGTGTTTTCTTAAACCCACTGAGTGGTTAAAAAAATCCACATGGCATAAAAACACCATCTTAAAACTCCTCCCATTTTTGTGTACTTGTATTTTACTTGAGTATTTCCAGGTTTTGATGCTTAAAACTTCAACATGTAAGATTTTACTTCACTGCACTCACGACTCGCTCTCAGTGTTTGGTTTTTGGTAGAAGCAGCACAGAGCGTCCTCCAGCTGACACCAACCGTTGCTAAGCTAGTTACCTGACGCAGCAGTCACCTGCGCTCAGGTTTCAGTAAGTTTGGACTCTATCTAAAACATCTGTGCACGTGTCTGTCTGTCCTCCTAGCACGCTTTGTCCAGCAGTGCCAACATCCTTCCTTTTGACCCCACGGTGACCTGCAACCAGGAGTGCATGATCACCACGTTTCAGCACGTTTACTATGTGGCCGACAGTTTTGAGGAAGCCAAGAACAAAATGAGGTGAGCTGCAAGTTTTCCCCACATGATGTGTGAGACGCACCGTGAACCCTGACCCTGTATGTCCCTGCTTGTCCCTGATTTTGGTTCTGAGCCGATGTGAGAGCTTCAGCTGAGGATGTAAAGTGTGTGCTGTGTCTGCAGGGAGTTTGCCAAGACCCTTCGACGTCCCTTCACGATACGCTACGACCCCTACACTCAGAGCGTGGACGTTCTGGAGGACACCAACAACATCAACAGCATGGTGAAGGACATCCGGCACGAGCTGGACATCGTCGAAGACGCTCTGAACCGACTCAGCAAAAAACTGCAGAGCGTGTAAAGAGGTGCTCACAGTAAAGCCGCTGACAGCCGAACACCGCTTCTATGCCTCTGCTTCTGCTCTGAATCTACTTCTGCTGCAACAAAGCCGACACCTCCTCCTGAGGGGGGAGGGGCCTCCTGAAACATTCGCTAGGACACATTTATTGTTTGTAGGCTGAGCTGTAAAAATGCGGCACGTGTGCCGTGATAATCTGTCTGTAATCATGTGAATTTGTGTGATGATCTATAAAATACACATAATCGTGTGTGAGAGTTCTGCAGTGATCTGATCCTGGTTCTGTTTGTGCTGCTGCTCAGTTACTGCGGCATTTAATGCGACACAGCACCCGTGTCCATTAGATCAGCTGCACACACCTACACGAGGCCTCACAACAACTTTTAAAGCAACAAAGTGTTGCTGGATGTGCAAAGAGCAGCATTTAGTTGTGCATGCTTCACACCAGCAGAGGGCGCCACTCAGCCACCCCACCAGTATCCACAGCAGAGAACCAGCAGCACCATAAAAGCACTTCGCTGGTTAAAAATAGCTCACAGATATATTGTCACAGAGCAGAACCTTCAGCTTGTGACTGGGAACAGATGTCAGTCGGTTAAATACCTCTGCTCATCTCCAGCTTCATCTTTTTATTCCTGGACTCTCTCTCCCAGAGCAGCTTTGCATGATTCATAGTTCAGAATAATCCTTCTTTACCTGCTGGGCCTCCTGCGACTCCTCAGCTCATCCCTTTAGCTCCTCCCCCTTTAAGATACATTTCTTTTTTCTTTTTTTTTCTTTTCTTTTTTGTTTGCCTGTCCCATTTGGTTCTTTAGCCATCAGAATTGTTGTCTGAAGACCAACAAGGATACCCAATGGATTTATTTTGCCAAATGGATCATCGTGGCATTGCCGTATTGGTCCATTTGGTCGATCTTTGTTTTTATTATTTATTATATTTTATTTTCAGATGTTACAGACGGGACAGACATGAGTGAGGGATAGGAAAGGGAGAAAGAAAGAGGAAAGAAAGGAAAAACAGAAGGGGAGAGGGACAGTGAGAAAGGGGGGGAGAAAAAAAATAAAAATCTCCTGGATCACCTGTTGAGAGAAGAATAGAAAACAAGCAAAAAAAAAAACAAAGCAACATACTAAACACAACACCATCGCATTAATCTAGCTAAGTGTAAACAGCAGTAAATACTAAATATTCAATGTTGTTGTGCAGCACGCAGGACAGATGTGCTTCGAGGTAGCAGCCAAGAAAGGTGTAATTTGGGTCTACGAGCAGTGAACACCCGTGTGCATACCTGTGTGGATCAGCATGCTTGTATTCCAAAGGTTTCTCCATGTAACGATCTGCTAGGGAGTGTGGGGGGGCCACAGCCCCGTCCTCCAGGGCATGAAGCAGGTATGGAGGAGATCAAAACTCCAGACATCCAGAGGCCCCCAGAACACAAGAGACCAAGGAAGACCAACAGAGGGGCAGCCGCGCCACTGTTCCAGTAAGAGCTGAGGAGAGTCCCAGATGAGGGCTCACTCAGCAGCCGCGGAGCAGAAGCCAGGGGGGTTGCAGTGACGCGCCCGTGAGCTCCCCGGCCGCCAGCTGTGCCTGAGTGACCGAGCCCCAGGCCGAGAGGCCGGGGGCACCCCACCTCCGAAGTGGCCCGAGCGAGCCCCAGGCTCCAGGCCCCGATAAGCGGCCGCCAAGGAGTGAGCCGGTGTGTACCCGGACGCCCACCCCCAGACACAAAGAACCACCAACGCACCGACACCTGAGGGAGTCCGCCACCGGCAGGGGAAGTGGTGGTGGGGGAGATAGGCCTCCAAACCTTGGAGGACCTGAGATGTCCCCAGAGAGGTGGCGTCTGACACCCAACCTGACATATAGACACAGACATACAGGCACACACAGATACAAACATCCATTCCCACCCTCATGCTCTCATATGCACTCACTCCACACTCAACCAACGTGGAGACAGACATAAAGAGACGCTGTACACACAATCACACTCCCCAAGCGTACTCTAAGCCCCGGGTCTAGGTACCCTTACCCCTGGAGGGGGGAACTGCACCCAGACCCAGGTGGTGTTACCCTTTTCCCTGCGGTGGGGAGAAGCAGACCGCCCCGACTCCACAGCAGCAGGGAGGCCCCACACTCCAGACCGCAGTCGGACGGCCAACTCCTCCTAGCCCCCCCGCTCCAGCAGGTCGCAGAGAATGGGGGTGTGTGAAGACTCCAAACCTCCCTCCACCCGCTCATTGTAGTGTTGATGCATGTGTGTTCTAAGGTGCAATTAAAACCCAGGAGGGCATGGAGCTACCTGCCAGAGAGCAGCAGGTAAGCGCATAGTCCCTCCTGATAGCCCTCAATGTCTACGTGTATTTAACATTGAGAGGTGGGCAACGACGCCAGGGGTGGGGTGTACACCCTGATGGTACTTTGGATTCCGTGTATCATGCCCACCCCCAAGATCCTATATGTATGTGTAATGAGAGTGTGAATAATGTGAATGTCTAAGTTGTGGGATAAAATTGAGGCAGAGGCAGCCAGAAGGGGACAGAGGGGGGGGTAGCCTCCTCTGCACCCTGGTGACACACCCCCACTCCAAGGCCCTGCATGTGTGGGTGGTTGTGGTGGAGCGGGAAGAGGGAGGCAGCTGGAGATGGGGAGGGAAGGAAGGGAGGGGCAGGTAAGATACATTTCTTATGTAAACCAAAAGGTTTGAACGGCGGGTGGGTGTGGCTCCTATTCCCTCTGTGACATCAGACAGGTCGAAGAATAGAAAGCGTTTAGAGCCGCTGGGTTTGGGCTCAGAAACGTATTATTAGAAACTTTGTGCTTCTGATAACGAGTGAAGGTAAAGATTTTGTATGTAGTTCTTTTCTTATATGAAACCTTATTAGGGTGTTCCTGCAAAAAACAGCCTAAAGTTACATTTTAAAAACATGTTTCACTTCATGCTTGACTGAAAGTTTGATACCAAACTTTTAAATGTGGCCTGTACATCACTTCAGGTATATCACAGTTAAAATACTGTGTGTATAATCAGACCGATGCAAACTGGAAGGATGCTTCACACCAACAGGAAACACTGACCAATCATTTAAAGTCCTGTCACTGACTGTGATGCTCATCAGAGACTACGAGCTCACATGTAGAAGGACAGAGTCCACAAAGAGCCCTTAAAGTCAGCAGTGAGAGCTGCCAGGAGCCTGAAAGGACGCTAACACAGCGCTGCACGTCCCGAGCTGATTGGTGGATCTTTGGTGGAGGCAGCTAAAAAGCCAGCGGTGTCATATTAAAGGGAAAAACTGAAGTTTGTGTACAAGGTCCAGTGTTCAGAGAAGCTGGACTGTTAGTGCTCGTTCTATTCAGCAAAGAGTCAAATTTAAACAGCAGCGAGAGAAAATGGTTGACATGAAGTTGTGGCTTTGATATATGAGAGCCGTGCTTGTTGTTAGGAATCACTGAGTATTGAAGTCAAGAATGAATATTATCTGTTCAAATATCATCACGTCCACATCCTGCACAGCTTATCCACCGTGCTTCATCCTGATACCTGAAGTTATGGAGACGAGGAGGCGAAGCTCTTCAGCATTTCAGTCGTTTCTCAGGAGAACTTCAGGATTTACTGGAGTCTCTGAGTTTGCTCACCCTGAGACGAAACCTCACCTGGCAGGTGGCTGACCCCTCCCCTCCTGCCTGACTCTCTGTTTCACATCCTGTGAATCTCACAGCTCGTATCAGAGTTTACATCTCTCCAAACATGAAATATTTGTGACATAAAACACAGCTGACTTTCTAATCGATCAGTGATCAATGACAGGACAGAGGAAGTGATCACGGAGGATTTATTCTGAACTCTGAACCGACCAGTATTCATAATTCTGGCCTCGCTAAAAATGTCTCTGCTCTTTATTTATCGGTCGCCATGGTGACTCATTGACGGCTTTGTGATCAGAGTCGCCTGAAAAACAGGAACAGAAAACTCTGAGTTTAAATTTAGACTCAGAACAGGGCTGCACGCACACACGCACACACACACACACTGCTCACAAACCAAAGGTCAGAGGTCATCTCTCAGTCTCTGTCAACAGCAGAAAAAAGACAAACCAGTGACTCCAACAACACAGCAGAGTCCAGGACAAAGTCCCCCAGTGTTACTGCAAACAGCTGCTTACAAACCCACAGCTGGAAGGTGATTGGCTACAGCGTTCCTCGTCCACCCAAAGCACGAAGGGGGGTGGAACTACACCCAATGGCTGAAGAGCAGCACAGCACCTGTCTGATCAAACTGCTGCGTCACGTGGAAGAGCCCAAACATGCCGACAGCTTCAGTTTATCAGACGCTCGTCTCTCCTGGAGCATCTCGAGACGCTCTATTGACTATTAGCTGTTGCACAAACAAATCGCTTCCTGTGCTCATGAGGTGATGTTGGAGATCAGATAAAGTTTATCACATATTGTTGATTTCCTGTGGCCAGTAGGAGGAGCCATGATTGTGACTCGGTGCTGCTGAGCAGATGTTTCTGCTCTGACTCTTACCAGACTTGAATTTGAACATCTTCAGGTGTCGTAGGAAAACCCCGACTTCACCACGCAGGCGCTCGGATGACAAGGAACAAATATGGAGTCAGTGTGTTAAAGAAGAACAGCTGGAAAACAAACGGAGGCTTTTCTTTTCATACATGTGCATAAACGACAGAGCCACGGCTGCTTTACCTGAAGCCACGTGTGCAGGAAGAACTGCAGATTGTGTCATTTCCACCACTTCTGTGCATGTGCAGGATCTGGAGCATCATCCGGGCCCAGCATGTGACTCATTTTTGTAAACAATCATGAAAAACACTCTTTACACTTTCAGAGCTCGAGTCACTTTGTACACGAACCGCACAAACCTGAATCCACAGTGGGTGTATTTTAGATACGCACGTGTGGATGTGACAAAGCCCCGTACAGCTCAATCAACATGAAACTGAAAGCTGAAGCTCAGCCAGCCAGAGAGAAATCCCCCTGGACTCCAAACCTTCCAGCCGGAACCCGGGAATAATGTTTGACTCACATTTTAAGTTGCTCATGAGTCATGTGGGAACTGCCACTAAATCTGCTTTTCAGTCATCAGAGACAAACTGATGCATGCCGTCATATCCAGCTGTGACGCACCTCAAAATGTACGTAAAACTTGGATTCAGGGCTGAGTCAGACCTCTCACGCTGTCACGTCAATGACTCCAAATCCTTTTACTTGTTTTGAAGCACTTCGTGGTCTCGGTATCTGTAGGGAACGACGAGAGGACACAACAGGACACTAGCCAGATAAAGTAAGAAAGATAAGCTTTCATTAG